TTTCCCCTGTTTGCGCCTGGCTCGTTTGGTAGTTTGTGAGTGACATTTTGCACCTAAAAGCTTTTATTTTAATATAATTCATAAAAATATTAAAGTTTCTTCATTATAGGTGCCATTGCCTAAAATCTTTACCATATAAATGAAGCCACTATTATCAGAGAAAAACAAATTCTGTCCAACGAGCCAATGGCGCAGGAATGGACATGATATATTGCCATTCGTTTTTCAGTCCACGACAGCCATGGCATGTATATACATGCCACCTGTCGGCTAGTGGTTAAGTATTTGGATTTGGTATCACTGCAGTTGTTGTTGTTTTCAAGACAATATTTTAATTTTTATTAAACATTAAATTTTTGCAAATATCTTTATGCTCTGTACTGAAAGAGCTCTTGATTTTTTTGTGGATTTTACATTGTATTGCTTTATAGATAGACTGGTTATATGTAAAGCCTCGTGTATAGAATGCATTTTAGAAAAGATGGGACTTAGAAGGATGTCATGGTTTCAAGCTAGAAATCTTAGTTTTAATGTATGGGTAACAGATTTCCTCCCTTTTCCTACCTCCTTTCTCTCCGTACTAGTTTTATTTGTATACCAACTCTTTACTATATATAGTAATTGAGAAAATAGGGAAAGGAATCAAGATATACTTAATATAGTATATTATATTATTCATTTCTTCAGTCTTCAGTTTGGGAGGTATTTTCAAATTATTAAATAAATATCAGTGATTGGAAGAATTTTGTATTGATTAGTTATATGAGAAAGATGTCTAAAAAAAAAAGCTGTAATGGTTAATGGATAAGACAAATAAATGTGTTAGACATCAAAGGTCATATATAGCACTATGGTAAAATATTCTGGGAAGAAAATGATTTAATGATTCAGAGAAAATGTGCTAGATATCCAAGGTTATTGAGCACTATAGGATGGTAGGTAGTGAAAAGGATAAAGAGCAGGAGGAAATGGAGTAAGGCGAAAGGGGATAGGGAGAACATGAGGAGGAGCTGGATGTTGGCACCTACCGTGAATATAGAGGGAATGGGAGTGGATAAAAGAGCAACAATCTCTTGGGTCATGTTTAGGAAGTTTTGGATGTCTTCAAGAGTTTCTGGGGGGAGTTGGGTGGAGAGGTCTGAGAGACAAAGGTTTTCTTATAGAAGGAAGAGATGAGACAGATGTCTGAAGAGCAGAGGAGGAGGTGCGTGTAGATGGGGTGGAACGTTTAAATTGCCTAAGTATGACAAGTAAAACAAGGGAAGTGGTAGAGATTGGAGTATCTGGATTTAGTATGGCAAAAGAATTTAACTAGGAAAGAGAGGGAGTAGAGACAAGAGAAACTTGGAGAGATGCTGAGAGCAGTGGAGTGATGGACCATATTGGAATAGGTAGTGGTGTGCTTCCCATTTGGCCTCATGTAAAGTGAAGCATAGTTTGAGTCTGGGACTGCTACCTCAGACTCAAACTTGTAGGCAGGGCAGCTTGTATGAATTACGTTATGGGAGCCATCACAATTGACACAACTGCATGATTGAGCAGCAGTTTTAATGGTCATGACCAAATTGAACACATGGAGGGCATCGGGCTGTGGTGCAACAGTGCTTGATATGGTGGACAAAACACCAGCATTTTGAACATTGATGGGCAAGGGGTCAATATGGTTGGAGGGCAGGACTCTGCCAATGTAAACTTCATGGGGGAGGTCATGTCTACAAAAGGTATTCTTGGCAGTATTGGTGTATTACTAACAGCAGCCTCTAGGAGGACTGGTGTTGCATTGTACTGCTACTGCATTATAGTCAACAAGGCAGGCAAGTTGGTCATTTTCATAGTCTGTCCTATCATTGTTGTAGATGGGCATCAGCCAGGGAGATTGTAACAGTTCTGGTATTAAGGGAATGAGGCTGGACAGGAATAGGTTTGCCAATGTAATCTGTCAGGGTAGATAATGTACAAGCTTGGAACTCAGATTTAACTATTACAAACAAAACATTAACAATCAAAATAGCTGTGAAAGGAATTATTATTAGAAGAGGAAAGTACTGTCAGAGTATAGGGCTATAGGGGGAATCACAAAGAATTTATCCCACTCTGCTGGGCTAATGAGTACTCAGAAGTTTTTAGTCATAATTATTAGAAGGATGAGGGCAGTGTGGAGTGAGGTATTGTGGGGAAGAGGACAAAAAAGATGAAGAGTAGTAATAAAGGAGGAGGGGGAAGCCTTTCATCCTTTCAGCACAGCTCTTACACCTCAGGAAATGTACAATAGGGAGGATTGAAGAGAATGAAAAGAAAAGACCATGTAAAATTGGTTGAGTCGAGTATTGAGGCCCAAGATAAGGGCGATCCCAACATTGGATCCTACACCCCCACAATAACAACAGGCATGGGATTAAGATGGAATTAAGCTGTATGACATTTAATTTGAACTTTTATAGTGTATACAATACATCCCACTTCCATTTAGCCTGATACTGACTTTTTCCCCACCAGTATT